ATTAGAAGCAAATTTTCCAAAAGAGGAAAGGGAAAGGAAGTCCTTTGCTTTAATGGACTACCAAGGTCAGCCTTCCTGGATTCGGTGGCAGGCCTGCACCTTCCTCAGGAATATTCTGGGCTGTCCCTGCTTTGATCCCAACCAGTACCCTCTCCAGCCCTGAGCAAGTGTGTACCTGGACTGATCCATCCTTCTTTGACAATTGTCTTTACACTTCTGCATAACTGGATCCATCCCCTGCTTCTTGTGATGGAGAAAATATAGCCAACGGGAAGTTGTACTTGACCTGAAAACCTCTCTCTGTTTAAATTCAGTGATGATGCTTCTTGAATTTTACTCACTCTAACTAGAGACTCTGAGTCATTGGCTAATAAACCAAGTCTAGGCATCACAACAAGATGATTGAATCATTTGGTCACTTAAAAGATTTACCTTCCAGAAGATTTTCAAGTTGTCCAATTCACCTGGATATGCCCCTTCCCTTCTCATGTTCTCTGAAAACCAAGTGGATAGAAGAAATTTTGTCCTATTTCAATGAAAGGTTACTCAAAATTTTGGTATTCTTAGTTCCGACAAAGAAAACATTTCCCAAGGAGAGGAAAGTATTGGAGAATGGCATTGGCTAAGTTAAATGACTGTTCTCTTGGTCACTTAGCCATGTAGACTCAACACCCTCATCTGTAAAATTGGTATAATCTCAGGGGCTTGGTGTGAAGGTTACGTGAGAGAGAAAAAAAAATGTGTTGAATTGGTTTGTATAGGGCAAAGCCACAGGCAGACCTAAGGTGTGATCATGTATAATGCTTAACGCATCAATCTCCTAAATGTGGCGGAGCAGAAATCCACTCAGAAGGGAGGGAGTCAGAGTGAGTCTCAGGCCCGCAGTGGGAAGATCCCAGGAGGTGTCCCATCACTCGGCGCCACCAACAGGCCGATGCCAGGGGCAACAAGCCCTCCGCAGCCTGGCTCCCTCCACCACTCCTACGGGCTGCTGCTGAGTCATCACCGTCTTCCAGAGCAGCCTGAGAGATTTGTGACTCAGAACTGATTTATAGTTTCATGTTTCACTGCTCCAGCTCTTTCCTGCCACACAAAGTTTCAGAGTTGCACCTGTCTCACCCAAAGTTTGAAACTTAGGAAATGACCGCAACACTTAGTTGCAACAAAACACACCAACCTTTTAAAATTTTGTTTGTTTGGCTTTTTTTTTTTTTTCCCCTAGCGCTGAGGGTAGAACCCAGTGCCTCCCTTGTGGGTGCTAGGCAAGGACCCTTCCACTAAACTACCTTCAGTTGTTTTGTTTTGTTTTGTTTTGTTGAGACAGGGTCTTGCTAAATTGCCCAGGCTGACTTTGAACTTGTGATCCTCAAAGCTTCCCAAGAGCTAGGGTGACAGATGTGGGTCACAAACCCTATTTTAAAACTATGGACACAGTGATTCAAATAGAGGCATTTCCAATTTTTAAATCCTAAAGAAAGTGGGAAACTAATAAAAGGTATTCCGCAGTTTTTACCTACAGGAACTTTGCATTTGGGGATTCTTTGTGATTTGCACACACATTTCAACCCGTGTTCTGTGTGGTAATACCATTGGCTTCCACCAAGCCAATCTTACTTTCTAAACTTTTGCTTGCAAACATCTGTTAGGCAGCCAGCTAGGTTAAGGAGTCCGGGTGCCACACAGCAAGTCTTTCTTTCTGTAAAAGAGTACTATATGCTAAACAAGTCCTGTCATACCTGTTTGAACCACCTGAAGAAAACCAAAATTTAAGAAACAGCCTAAAGGTTGCATAATGACAAATGAAGATATAACTGGGATTAATCTTTAGGAGCACTTTGCAAAACCCTAAAAAATACTCCAGAATTTCATGCAAGAACAATAGTTGTGTACAGCTGGGTTCCTCTTCATTTGTTTGTTACTCCTATCAAAAAGTAAGCTTCTCTGAGCTCTTGTGGGAATAAGAAAAGGAAGCCCTGTCAGAAGAGAGCATAAAGAAGCTATGATAAGGCTTAACAACAGGAAAGCGTCAGCAACTTAAATGAAGGTCAAAGATTTTCAACAAGCAGGATAGATAAGTTCTAGCCCCAGAACAATTCCGCAAAGCCAATCCCTAAATGGAATACCAAAGTCCAAAAAAGAGTCACCTCAGGATTTTTCCAGTCCACGCAGAGGCCCTGCGGATGACAACATTCCTCTGCTTTCCTTATTACAATTGCTCTGGCACTAAAATGCTTTCAAAGGTCAAAGGAAACATCAGCTAGTAGGATCCTAAAGCCTGCTCTGTTCCGACCTCGTCACTTCTCAGGGCTCAGTTTTCTTATCTAGAAAATGGGAAAGTTGTACCGGATGGACTTTCTCTGGTTTCTCCGAGATGTAGGATTTCATGATTCTAAATATTTTGTTTGTGACTTTTGTAGATGTATGTAGAGCTAAATTCACACTGGACTCGACTCAGAGTTACGTCTTCTTTTGAACATAGACAAGTTTGAACATTATAGAATTCCTACTTTGTTGAATGACTTGTATAAAATATTTAGACTAAGCCATGTCTATTCAAACTAACCAGCTGATCCTGACAGTTATTCCCCCAAATTAAGAAGATCAAAAGATGATCAGAAGACATCATCTCTTTACAAAGACCAGAAAAGCAACAATTGGAGAAATGATCCATTTTTGTTTGAGTGGCTCAGATGGGGATTTTTTAAAAGTCATTTCTTCTAAATCTTTGTATTCTTCAAAGACTGTAACAGGATTCAAAGAAGAGCTTGGATATCAGCCCTGAGGTTGAAGAAGATTTATTAATGTTCAATGAAGATGCTACTTACTTTATTTATTTTTAATATTTATCTTTTAGTTGTGATTGGACACAAACCTTCATTTAATTAATTAATTTATTTATTTTTTATGTGGTGCTGAGGATCAAACCCAGGGTCGCACACGTGTGAGGCGAGTGCTCTATTGCTGAGCCACAACCCCAACCCCTTCCTTAATTTAAAAATAAAAAGTGGAGATGGTCATAGTGGCACATGCCTTTAATCTCAGTGACTTGGGAGGATGAGGCAGGAGGATCGCAAGTTCAAGGCCAGCCTCAGAAAAACAGTGAGTTCCTAAGCAACTCATGAGACCCTGTCTCAAAATAAAAAAATAAAAGGACTGGGGGTGCAGCTCAATATTAAAGTGTGTCTGAGTTCAATCCCCAGTTAAAAAAAAAAAAAGTAGAGACAAATGGAGAAAAAAAAATATTATGTTGAATAAAGAAACTCTATCTTCTACACTATGGATTCTCCAAAAGTATTGGTTGTTTTTGTCGGAAATCAGCAGACCCTTTCCAATCTGGATTCTTCTACATTAATCTAAAGGTGAATAAAATTGTTCATTCATTCCTTCAGTAAACCTTTACTGAACTCCCAGAATGTAAATGAAATTCACTGAACACAGAGAATACAAGGATGTATGGAAAAGGCCCTGTCATTAAGGAACTTACAATTTAGTACACTAATTAAAAACAAACAAACAGATTTCATATGTGCTAGGATTGACGTAATATGTCCTAAAGAATATTTCATGTTTAGATAAACCTGGAACAGGCTTTATAGAAAACCTATCTTTTATATAGACGGGGACCTTCCCTCTGTAAGTATTGTAAGGATGCTAATAATAAACAGAAATGTGGCTTGAAAAGCTTAGAGGGTAAAAAGAATCAGATAATTCTAAATATGACATAATTAAGGTCCAACTTTTTCACAGCAGAAATCTCATAGAGGAAGTATGGAATTCATCTAATCCAATCCTCTTATTCTACATTCTAGAAAACCGAGGTCTCAAGAACAAAGAAACTTACTCAAGAATTCCTAATATGGGGCTGGGGATGTGGCTCAAGCCATAGCGCGCTCGCCTGGCATGCATGCCACCCGGGTTCGATCCTCAGCACCACATACAAAAACAAAGATGTTGTGTCCTCCGAAAAATAAAATTAAAAAAGAAAGAATTCCTAATATGTTAGCGGCATAGTCATACCTCTTTTTTTTCCACAGGATGATCTGACCTGTTACAAAGAAGTCACAGTACATATTTCCTATTCCATGTACATTGCAAAAGAAGTATGGTTTGTTGTTTCTTTGGGCAGATATTTTTTATGGTGAGATGCATATTTGAAAGTTCCAAGGTATTGGCTCACTTAGTAAATATTTTTGAAGATGACTACTAACTGCCTACAGAAAGAAAAAATCACAGTTTTTCTCCTTTCTTGAGTAAGAGTTTAAGAAAGGGCAATAAACAGAAATTTGGCAACAATAGACTTAGATCAAAGATCCACCTCCTGGGTACAGGGCAGGCATGAGAAGTTTCAAACCTTTGGGAAAGACCACTCATAATCTTTGAGACAGGATGTGCATCTAGAAGAGTTAGCAAATAGCAAAAATCAGAGCATCCAACCTCTCGTCAAAATCACAGATGGATGTTTGAAGGTTAACAGAAATGGTGATTTTAAGAAATCTACAAGGCTTCATTTTCTTATAGCATTGACTATAAGCAAGTAACACTTCTTTTCGGCTATTTTCTCTGTAGGCCACTGAATGAAAATTGTATTCAGAGGAAAAGATTCCTCTGGTTCTTCGAGCTTCCTTCGATTACACAATAAAGTCCCCCCCCCCCACACACACACCCAAAGCTTGAGCCATCGCACAACTGCAGTTCAGCTCTAGAAAACGAGGCGTTCCCGGAGTGGAGACACCTACTCAGGAGACGGCCCCTATTCTGTGTTCTGCTTCTAAGTTGCTAAGTGACTTCACAGTTATCAATCGACCTTCCTGGTGTCAGATTTTCCCACATACTGAGGGTTTAGAGGTACCCTGCACACTAGACCGAGTAAGGTTACAGATTTGGACATTTGATAAGTTTTCACCAAACCCTCACACCTATCTAGGAGGGGCTTTCCTTCGGGCGCGGGAGGGCGGTTTCTCGACTGTCCACCTGCCAGTCAGAGCCCAGCAGGGGCTCTCCGCCACTGCCTGCCAATCAAGCTCGAACCCGCTCTTGGCCGCGTCCCCTGGCGTCCCCTCCAGTTTCGACTGTTCTAAAAACCCGAGCCCAGCACGCCCCTCCCGCGGCCGGAGATAAGGAAACCACCAGGGGGAACTGGAAACGGGCCCTTTGGGAAAAAAGAACACCCACAAGGGTTCTTCTCGGGGGGCTGGGCCTGCGCTCCGACACCAGAAGGGTGACAATTCGAGTTCGGGTTTCAAGGTGAGGGGAGGTGTTTTTATGTCTCCGGTGGCCACGGTGGTTCACACCACGAGCCCGACCCGCGGCCAAGGGCGCTGCTTTTTGGAACACGGAGGGGGGGGTGGGTAGGCGAGGTTGGCTCCAGATCGCCCCGCGGAGAGCCACGGGCCGCGGCACAGAAACGCAGCATGATTTCTAAGCCATGCACATGCTTCGGAGCGAGCAAAGCCTGTCCCGCGGGGGCAGGAAGAGCCAGCCTTGTCCCGACGCCCTCGAGGGCTGGCGGGGCGCGGCGCGGCGCGGCGCGGGCACTACATTTCCCGGCGGAGGAGCACACAACGGCGTCACATACACGCCCCGAGACACGCCCCGAGACACGCCCCGAGACGCGCTCCGCAGCCGTTGGCTTAGTTGGCGCTGCTGCGGCTTCTTTCCGCGTACACTTCGGCAAGGACGCTCTGATAGGCCAGCGCGACCCTGCAGTGGTTGGCCGGAAAGAGTCGAGCCGCCTGATTGGCCGCGCCGCACCTGCAATGCGTCAAGCCGCGGCGGGCGTGGAGGGCTCCGCGTGAATGGCCGTGACCGGCGGGGCAGCCCGTGGCCTTCCGGAGGGAGAGGCCCCGCCCGGGCCGCCATCTTTACTAGGGGCAACGCGGACGGCCCCGGACGCGCAGGGGCTGCACTGCGCTCTTTGACCAGTAGAAAAAGGCTCTGCGGCAGAAGTTTTATTTGGGGGTTCTTTTTCCTTTCTGATGGGTTGATTTTACTCAGGTTCGGGGGATTGTTTGGAGAGGGTAGAAGGCGACGACTCGGGGCTTGGCGCTGAGGGTAGAATGGACACTGGATGGACAGGGTCTGAGAAGGGTTTTAGCTTTGGCTTTAATAAAACTGCTTGGTTTGCGTTCTCTCGGCGTGCACGGCCGGGCGGGGGTGCGATCTGATTGAATTTCTGCAGACAGAAGTGAGACTTGCTGCCTGGGCATCTTGCTCGAGTCGGAGAGCCATTCTGGAAAGCTCTCCGGAATACGTCATTGGTTCTTGCTCGCGCTGTGCGCGGACCCGCCAGCCCGGAATGAGTTTTTGTTTTTTTAGAACTATAAATCAGACAGCCGGCCTGGAGATTACTTCTCGCCTCCGTAGGCAGTGGCCTGCAGGGGCAAAACTGACCTCGCCTGACAGCTACAGAAAATGATTTTGATCCTGTTAGCTTATTTGCCTTTTTTGGGGCAGATGTTGTTTATGATGTTTGTGCATTTGTCCTCGATTGCCCTCCCCACTTCAAAAAAAAAAAAAAAACCCTAATTGTTGGACGTGATAGTTATTCAGGACTCACTCTCCCCTTTTGTGGAACTAAAGAACATGTTCCCTGGATGATTGGGGAAACAGAAGAGGTTGTGGATGTCATCGTTTCGCCAGTGGTGTTAGCTTTGTTGGTTTTATTTGAGCTGCGGAGGTGCAGATTCAGTGGATTGTGGCTATCCAAAGGTGAATTCTGGAGCTGCCTCCGTGTGGGTGTTGCCGTGGATACAGGGCAAGGGAGTGAATTGTGGGGCCAATAAACCTGGCAGGGCCAGGCCTCTGGTGTATTAAACCTTAGTAGTAATTGACTGCCCTGGTTTGTGTATCCAGGCTTTCTCCATCCCCATCCCCATCTAGGATTTGTGGATTGATCAATGCAGGCACACATGGGCGTGTCGATTCCTGTTAATGACTAATACAAGTGGCACTCATTACCATGTGTAGATTTTCTGATTAGATGGTGCATCTACGAGTATAGTTTTTGTACCCTTTGCCATACATTCTGATTTGCAAGTTATTGCTGCTTTTACATAATCTTAGCATTTTTTAACAATTACTTATGACTCATATTACTTTTTTTCCCCCTTAATCTAGGTAAACCATTATTGCCTTCTGCCTGGAATGAACACTCCCATTTTATTGGGTTTAAATATGTCAGAGCACTGAGTTCATGGACATTGCAAAAGAAAGAAATTTGCAGCTTTGCATAATCTCTATATAGCAACAACCCCTCCTGCCGGTAGAGCACACAGTACCTCAGTGTTTGGCAGCTGCAATGCTAGGAGTTGGCCCTTAGCTTGCTGCGAGCACAAGAAGTCTTCCAGAGCCTGGATTGCTTCTGTGTTGGGAAGAGAATCAAATCTCAGAGTTGTGAGGATTGTACGCTGTGCAAATGTGGCAGCACTGTGTAAACTGCAGAACTATTGACATATTGATAGGCAATTACTAATGCAATAATTGAGTGCCCATACTGTCTGGCCTTTTGAGAGGAAGATTTTCCTTCAGGATTTTCTATCTCTGGAAAGAGCAAGTGAATAAATTCATATCCAAAATAAACCTTACGTGGCATTGTTTTCTTCTTAATGAAAATAGTATTAATATAACCTTGTTAGCATGCAGTACCAGATTCTGGGGGCTCTTAGAGTGATTAGCTCATCACAGTCTTTAGTGAATGTGCCTGGTTTTAACATCAAATGTGTTCAGAAAGTTCCTTTTAGCTCCACAAACCAGGACAACTGGTCACCTTTGGACTGTTTTCAGTGTCAAAGATGGGAGGATGAACAGAATGGAAAACGAAAGACTTTTACTATATGGAGATTCCTTATATCTGGGGGTTACCAGGCCCAAGAAAAAGGATGTCCTTGTGTGAAATAAGTGTGGTGTGGGCGGACACCTAAAACTCAAAGCTCCAAAGTCAAACTGATAACTTTATCCTTTTTTTGGGGTGGGGGTATTGGGGATTGAACTCAGGGGCACTCAATCACATCCCCAGCCCTGTTTTGAGTTTTATTTAGAGAAAGGGTCTCCCTGAGTTGTTTAGCACCTTGCTTTTGCTGAGGCTAGCTTTGAACTTGCAATCTCCTGCTTCAGCCTACCCAAGCTGAGGTGTGTGCTACAGGTGTGTGCTACTCTGCCCAGCTAACTTTATCCATCTTTACTGTTCAGTTCTCACACATGGCTTGTTTTCAATATCTTAAATTTTTCCTATTAAATTGTCACCTTTATTTTTAGTAAAGACTTTACAAAACTGTTTGTCACTGTAGAATACAGAAATACTTCCTCATGCCCTAGGTCCTTTGTCACCAATCAGCCTAGGGTTCTTTTGTTAAGGGAAAGATCGTGAACGGGCAGCCAAGTATAGCTTTTTTGGTGTTGTGGCTTCTTAGCTCTTAGCCATGAATGTTACATCTAAGACTTGGGCTCTCTGCAGTCTTGGATGTGCATCTTGAAGAGGCAAGCAGCAGCACCATTTAAACAAGGCTTTATTGGGACTGATGCCCTACTACAGGGAGGCAGAACACAGGGCTGAGCTGGACTAGCTCCTTGAGGAGTTAAGGAGTGAAGCTTATATCTGCAAAAGGCACGGTCAGCTGTCAACCAGGAACTACTGTTTCCTCACGTGGGTTCTTTGCTCTTGATGATCTGCGTGGTTTGTTGGGTCCATCTGCACTTGGCTGTTGGGATGGGCGAGGTGCTCCCACCAGCTCAGGTGGCTTCAGCTGTTTGCAAAAGCAACCTATATCCATACCCTTTGGAAAGGTTCAGGCCCTTCCTGTGCAGTTGGATAAAGCCTAATGCTCCTGGGATCTGTTGCCCGTGTTCATAGTTGACATCATGCTCTGTTTCACTTAGAGGTTAGTGAAAACAAAGGTGTTCTGTTTTTCATCAAGTACAGGGATCCCCGAATTCCCTCCAAGAAGTCCACCCTGAGAACCCCTCCCCCTCTCCATTGCCTCATTTTAGTTTTCTTGCAACTTCGACGACTTTCATAGTTTTTGCCTTTATATTCTCACTGCCACCACCGTGGTTCAACACGCTGCTGCTGTTTTCCTCACTTTTACAAAAGTCTCCATTGGTCTGTTTTAGTCCGCTCCTGCTGCTATAACAAATACCACAGACTGGGTAATTCACAAACAACAGAAATTTAGTTCTCAGTTCCCGTGGCTGGGAAGTACCAGGTCAGGGCACCAGCAGATTTGGAGTCTGATGAGGGCTTACTCTGCTTCCAAGAAGACACCCTGTGGCTTCCTCGTGTTGTGGAGGTGGAAGGGCAAAAGGGGGTGAATGCTGTGTCCTCATGTGACAGAAGAGATGAAAGAGCCAGGTAGCTCTCTGAAGCTTCTTTCATAAGGTCATTAATCCCAATCATGAGGGCAGAACTCTCCTGAGTAATCGCTTCCCAAGAGGCCCCATCAGTTTGGGGTTTAAGTTCCAAAATTTCAATTTTCCAGGGACACATACCTTCAAATAACAGCAGTTTCCCATCTTTTGCTCAGTCAATGGAGGACTTTATCTAAAACACATCTAAATCCCCTGAGTTTAATCCCCAGCACTGCAAATCAATAAATGAGTCAACCACATCTGACGATATCGTTTCCCTGTTAAAAACTTCAGTAGTTTCTCATGGCCTTCAGGATTAAGTCCAGGTTCCTCTAAGAATTGCTTCAGGGATCTCCATAATCTGGCCTTTTCAGTCTTAATAACCTGCTCTCCTTTGCATCTCTTAAATTTCAGTTGGATGAATTGTTCTTTATACTTGTGCTCCTGCCAGGCGTCACGCCTGCAGTCCCAGAAACTCAGGCAGCTGAGGCAGAAGGACTGCAAGTTTGAGGCCAGCCTCTGCAACTTAGGCCCTAAACAGCTTAGCGAGACCCTTGTCAAAATAAAAAGGGCTGTGGATGTGGCTCAGTGGCTGAGCACCCTGGGTTCAATCCGCAGAGCCAAAAAGAAACATAAGATAATTTGTGCTCCCTCATCTTTTATTGGTGTTGCTGGTTTGGTCCACACTTTCGGTCTCCATTGTCTGCTAACCAAGGTCTGATATCCTTAAAGGTTCACTTCAAAAGCGAAGTCGGCTGAAATGAACTCCTCCCTTGGGCTCCCTTAGCATTTACTTCACTCTCTTGTGTTACCACACTCAACTTTTATTATGGGCATTTGATTACTCATTCAAAAAATATTTGTCAAGTAGCCACTGTGATGCTGAACAGTAGGGGATATAA